CCGCTTTAATGCAGGGAATTGAACTTAGGGCACTCTTCCTACTGAGCTACATCCCTAGTCCTTTTTATTTTTTAATTTTTACAAAAGCTGGCCTTGAACTTGTGATCCTACTGCTTCAGCCTCCCATGTCACTGGAACTACAGATGAGTGCCTCTGTGTCTGTCGCTCCCCACTTTTAAATTGTTTTTAATCCATTATGATGACTGAATTAAGAAAAATTGGCTTGTGTTAGGTAGTTTGAAGTGTTTGTTCAGGTTATTGAAACTGTCAAGAAAGTTGAGTTAAAAGTTTTTCTAGTTACTGTCCTTGAGCTAGATACACTTGTTTTTTCATGTTCTTTTTGGTTGGTTTACACCAGTCCAATTCCAATTCATGATAATTCTGGGGAAAGAGTTTTCTGCTGAAGACCAGCCCAGGGATATTTTATAAATGAGTACTATGATAAACCTCTTTAAAGCTCTTTACTTTGGATAAACCCCTTTAACTCTTTTCCAACCTTCTTCATCACGGGGACATGGGAATTCTAAAACAGCATGATTGCTGAAGTAAAAAAGAAAATACAGGTTGATTTAGGTACCATATAGGTACAGAGAACTGTTATTTTTATAGTCTGAGTGGTAACTATGGATTCCTCTAACTATAACAGAGTATTTATTAATCCTCCTCTTTTTTTAAGTTGTGAAACATACATGAAAAAATGTACTGTTTAACCATTTATTTATTTTTTTGTGGTGCCAAGGATTGAATCCAGTGCCTCACATGTGCTAGGACTGAGCTACAACCCCAGCCTATGAAGTGGTGTTTTAGTGTGGTTTTTATATGCATGTCCATAATGATTAATGATGTTGAGCATCTTTTCATGTATTTATTGGCCATTTGTATGTTTTCTTTGGAGGATTATCTTTTTAACACTTTTGTCAATTTTTAAATTTTGTATGTTTTTTTTTAATTGAGTTGTAGGAATACATATATATCCTGGATATTAATTTCTTTTCAGATTTATATTTTCTTCCATTCCATGGGTTGTTTTTTCATTCTGAATATGTCCCTTGATATATAGAAATTTATAATTTGATGAAGACCACTTGACCTTTTTTTTTTTCCTTTGTTGCATACATATGCTTTCTTCTATTTGTTTTATATAGAGTGAACCTAGGTTACAAGTTTTACTGCAGGTCTATAATAGTCATCTCCTGGCTTTTGTCAAAATGTGAAATCCTTCTTTGTGTTTTGTATCGTGAACTTATTTTACATTATGTCATCCAGGAATCATGGGAGGAGATGATAGATTGACTTTTCTTATCATGATAGGGCAGAGTTAGTGAGTATATCCATTATACATAATTTAAATTTTGTATGAGGATGATGATGTATGCTTTAAATTTAATTTTTTTTAAAGAGAGAGAGAGAGAATTTTTTTAATATTTATTTTTTAGTTTTCAGCAGACACAACATCTTTGTTTATATGTGGTGCTGAGGATCGAACCCGGGCCGCATGCATGCCAGGCAAGCGCGTTGCCGCTTGAGCCACATCTCCAGCCCAAAATTTTAATTTTTTATTAGAAGTTATTTATAATGTTTACAGAAATGTTCAATTAAAAGTCCTCATTGATTCTTAATCCTCATAGATAATTTGCTTTTAGTATTTTTATCTATGATGCATATTTCATTTACTGTGCTGTTATATTATTTTACAAACATGGAATAGTACTATACACACTGTCTTATAATTTGAAACTTATATATATATCTGATATGGCTTTCCATATCTGAATGTATTTCTATTTTATTTCAAAGTTTGATAATATTCTATAGTTAACTTAGCCAGTCTTTCACTGCTAAGCACTTGGCTTTTCTGTATAATTTGTTGTTTTTCCAAACACTGCTATGGTGGACATTCTTGTACATGTATCTTTGAAAATTTATGCCAGTGTTTCCATACCACATAAGGTCTTACTCTTTTTTCCTGCAGATGTTATGGAAGCAAGTTCACAATTACCCAATGTTTAACCTCCTTATGGAAATTGACTCCTATATGTTTGCATGTGTGAATCAAACTGCTGTATATGAGGAGCTTGAAGATGAAACACGAAGACTCTGTGATGTCAGACCTTTTCTTCCTGTTCTCAAATTAGTGACAAGAAGTTGTGATCCGGCGGAAAAATTGGATTCAAAAATTGGAGTCCTTATAGGAAAAGGTAATTTAAAAATTCTTATGAATTCTTATGAGTGTGTATTGTAATATATATAAACAGGTTTATTTTAAGATATTACTTTTCAAAGTATAGTTTATGCACCAATGTTGGTTACCAGTTTGAGATAATGCAAGTACAGAATTAAGAATAAATATTTAGGGGCTGGGGATGTGGCTCAAGCGGTAGCGCGCTCGCCTGGCATGCGTGCGGCCCGCGTTGGATCGTCAGCACCACATACCAACAAAGATGTT